AGTTCACACATGTTGACGGTGGTTGATGCTCTCTTGCTGACAGCTGCTGAACGCTCGGCCTGACCATGACAGGTCTCCTTTGTGGCCACCTGTTGACTCCCTGTTGAACTTCCGTGTGACCCCTTTTATAGTGTTTTTTTATGGCTTAACAGGCTCGAAAAACAAAGCGAGTATAATTAAGAGGGAAGCATTTTTATTGGACGAAAAATAGAGCACTTTAATTATTATTTTATTTTTCGACCGGAACACGTGTGTCGGAAACATTTGTAAAGAAAGTTAATGGTCATTTTGTGACAGGGCTTTGTCCCGTTCACATCCGGTTCTCGCTCTTGGGTATTTGCCTGTAAATCAGCCGAGATATGTCTTATTTTATTTTATAACATGAGGAAGAACTCCTGAGTATATGACGCACTTATCAGCTTATTCTGTGTACCAAGTGTAACAGCTCAGAATACAAGTAGCAATATAAAAAGATTCAAAGTAGAAAATAATTTGTCTATAAAGGAATTAAGTTGTACCACTAAACAAAGCCAGAATATATAACAGCTAACAATGGTAATACAGTAGATCAGGTCTCAGATATAATAGTTGGTCCTTCTTCTGTGTGCTATTTCCCTTTGGAATGTAGGCAATCATGGCTTTCCACAATTTCCTATTCTTTGTACCTCTTAATAAATTTTATCTTTTTGTTATCTTGTTATCCTAAACCTTGTTCTGCCATCTATTTACTTAAGCTTGCTAAGTAGTTTATGCAGTGTTTTCCCCTTTTCTTCTTGCCTTGAATCTGTCCTGTGAGTATCAAATTTTTCAAGTCCTCTTTCCTCATTATGTGCCTGAGAAATTTCAATGTCTTTTTCTGATGTTAAGTATAAGTGACCTTTTTGTTTCCATTTTCTCTTTGAATCAATTGTCTGTAATCCAACTTAATAGTTGGCAACTAAAATTCACCAACAATGTGGTAAAAATAACAAAAAATATATTAAGTATAGTCTGTGATAACACTTTGTTTACCAATACTCTACCAATGAGTCATGTCCAATATAAATTAAGATAATGAGCATAATGTATACATGTATCATTTTTGCTTCTCTCCAAGTGTGCATATATTTACAATTGTCTGTATGGGTTATATATATATATATATATATATATATATATATATAATACATATTTTATATAAATAATAGTACTAATCTTATAAATATAAGAAATTATACTCGTCTGGAAAACCCTGGGTACTTTGATATGTAAATAAACAGAACAATACTCAAGGGTAAAAAAAGATACAAAAAAAGAAAGAACAGAGAACATGTACATCAGCCAAAGACAATCATCCACAGAAAAAAAATCCCTGATACGAGTAAGTAAAATAACTAAGTAAAGTGCTTAATATGCTAAGTAGAGCAAACCTAATTAAACCTAAAGGTAGGTTTATCTGGCTCTTTACGTTTAATTACTTTTATATAAATATGAAAGTGAACATTGAAGTCAACACTTAGAGGCAACAGGCTGTTTCATGCTAGACACAATCGTCAGGCCACACACACACTCTCTCTGATATTGATCACTCTATCCCATAAATATAGCACACCTTAAGAGTATATTTCTTCATATACATATATATATATATATATATATATATATATATATATATAATTTTCATTGAGATCATCCCATGCAAGGCAGAAAGGCCACTAAGGCACAAGGGGTTTTAGGGTGGGGAAGAATTAGAAACAGAAACAATATTGATTGGGAAGAGAAAAGAGTAATCAGGATGACAGTAGATTAAAGTTAGGTGGGCAGCACAGTGATGGAAAAGAGTTCCACAATTGAGAAGTCCAAGAAAAGAAACTGTTAGCACAGAATTTACAGTTACATCTAACCAGCACAACTATAAATTGATGAGATCTCAACAACATATATATATATATATATATATATATATATATATATAGAGAGAGAGAGAGAGAGAGGTTGGATAGGAATCCACCAAAATGATAGGAAAATGAACGAATAGGAAACAGATCTTAATCTAACATATTTCACTTTATTAAAGCTTTGTCAGCAATCAAGACAGAAATGATAAAACATTATTAAAAACAAAGAGACGCAGATTACTTGGATGTTGTCTTAGGCTATTTCATTGCTTAGATACTTGTATTGAAGTGATAGATAATATTTAAATAAGTGTGGCAAACATTCTCAATACTAAAGTGTGTAAAAGTAAGAAGCAGTAGCATGTTTTGATTGGATGTGTGTCATGTGTAAGGAAGTAACATATAATATTGAAATAGGATGTTAAAGTATGTAAAGATTAGTGAGACACTGCAAGATATTTTGAACAATTTTTCATTAGAGTATATCTATATATTTTGTATATATATATATATATATATTGATTTTTATGTATTTAGAAGAGATAAATTAGATTCATGAATAATAGATCTGTAGAAAAATAGTGATGTAATGTAGATTTTAAATGTGTGTTAATAGTTGGCAATATTGCTACAAATATATTTTTATAATATTTTCTCTTTAAAGAGTTATGTTCTTTTTTTTGATAAGGCTGGCATTGGTGAAATTAAAGATGTCCTACGTTGTTGTGGTGTAATATGAATGAATTTGAATGTTTATCTAAACACAAATCTCTTTTTTGTTCCTGGATGTGGATCTTTAGATCATAGGAAGTCTCCCCAACATTCATGTTATTGCACTGTATACATTTTATTTGATAAACTACAGCATTTGAATTGTTATTTATTTTATTTTTCATCCTGATTATTATATATGTGTGCATGCATGTGTACACATAGTTGTATGACCATTAAACACAATCTTATTTTTACAAGGTTTATTTTATCTATGTTAGTATTATAGCACCAAAATACTAGCTTGAGAACTTTAAAAAAAAACTTCATCAGATTGAGACTATCATATGGTCATCCTGGGTATGACGCTAAACTAGATCCATGTCCTGAGTAAGATGATAAACTACTTCCACACAGCAAGGCCTCTGATCAGAAAGTTTTGAGGAGCGTGGAACCACCTCTTAATTGCTGGTGTTCCCAGATCCACCCTGACCAGGAGTAGTAGCACCTGTTAGGGCCCCAGCTATGGGCAAATAGTTAACACCCAAACTTGTGTAAAAATAGATTTTTTTATACCAGAAATAAAAAAAAAAATTACCAGCAATTTTTGAAGGAAAAATTATCAGCAATACTTAAAAAAAAAAAATACTAGCAATACATTTTTTTTTTTTTTTAAGAGAACAAAAACATTACCAGCTATAGATTTCTTGAAGGAAAAATATTCTCAGAAACAGATTTTTGAAGAAAAAGATTGCCAGCAATAAAAATTTGTTGGTATTAAATAACCCATTAAGTAAAACACACAAACAAATCAAACTATCATATGGATGTCATACATGGCATCCAACTCATACAGTCATTTTCTCATATCAGGGATTAAAAATGTGTTATATTCCATGCTAATAGGAATATAATCTTGACAAAGTGGATAAATAAGTAAAGGTTTATTGTAGAAACCAGTACAATAAGAATAAAGGTAACAATTATGTGCACGGTCGTCACAAGTCAATACAGTATTGAGTGCTGCTATTGGAAGGTCAGTAGTTCTTGCATAAGTCTGAGTCATACTCAAAAGATTCCAGCAAGTCTCCTGTAGTCCATTGTGTTATGGATAATTATAGGCAGATAATACCTATATCATGGGGGTGACAGGTTATTCCATTACATCAAAATGGCTTCAAGTAAATGAATCCTTTAAGTTTAAAAAAAAAACTACCCTTCTTCAAAGAGAGGCATGGTGGAGTAATGGACAGCAGCTCGGATTGAGGAATTGGAGAGTCGAGTTCAAATTTCAGTCAAATCTATGACATTCAATTATGTGCTAATAACCTTGGGACATGTATCTTCTTCTCCCCCCAACTATGGGTAAATAGCAGGACAAACCAGATTCTATAGACTTAAATGCCAACTGGTCTACCACAGAAAGAAATGGCAACCTACTGCAGGAAAAAAATCTGCCTCGTCAGTCATGTATTGAAAGATACTTGATCACCTATGCATGCATGGCATATAACTGACTGACCTTTCTTCAGACTCTATAGACTGATACTCCAGAATTCCAACCAAAGAGCTTTACCAAATAACAAATCCACATCACCTGAAGACCTCCAACAGCAACTACAACTAAAATGGTTAATACATATAAAAATAGAAAATAATGATACAATCAAATTATTAAACTTTTTACACCAACAAAAACCATTACTTAGGAAGGAAACTTCCATCTGTACTAGAAAGAGCAATAACAATTAGTGGACATGAGAAATCTAATTTTATGAAAAGCTGATTTAAGAAAAAGATTTTATAAATTTCAACTGACAATAACGCTAACTGCTTGAACAATACATGCAAAATGTTTCCTGTATGGAAATCTCAGTTTTAACCTTATTTACACTAGGAACCAGGGATGAAAGCTCAATGGAACAGATTCAGATCCAAGGCCTTCTCACACCTTTGGAGGAACCCCTCCATGATTGACCATGTCTTTCAGGTGTGTAGCCATCCACACACCATGCTTGGCCAATGTCAGCTTGGTGAAGTTATTTAATCTATAGTTGGAGGTTTTGAATTTAGAGCTGTCCTTAAACTGGTTGCCACCCAAGGCTACATTACCCAGTCTGTCCTGCTATTTATCCATAATCCCATAGCCGGGGAAAGAAGAAATGGATTCATACCTTTCCCAAGGGTATTTGCATGTAAGTGAATATAACAAACTTAACTAGAATTCAAACTTGGCTCTCCAATTCCTCGCTCCAAGTTGGTATTCATTATTCCCTGATGCCCCGACTACAATGCATGAAATAGAAAATATAAAAAATACTAATGTGAATTATTTTATAGAATGTAAATTTAGATTGCTTTAATAGTTTTTTTTTATTACCTAATTTTATTTCTATTTTTTTTTTCTTGTAGGCAACTGAACGTCATAGAAGGTTTGATGACTTATTAAAAGTTTGTCATCAAGTGAATCCTCAATTGGATATCTCCTATTTCATTCGTTCAATGAGCCAGGATGCTATCAGGCTTCAACTGTTACCATATGAATTCAACAGCCCTGCCAATATCAATGCTGAAGTGATGGAACATGTAAGTAATGTAATTTTAATATAAATTGATCTCATAAAATTCTGTGTTATAATTTAAAAGGAAAACAGTTTTTTTTTCTTTTAAAGCCATTTTCTTTCAGAATATAATGATCATGGCTCTCCTCAGATTCATGTTTATTATCATGACCTTTATTTTTTCATTTCACCCCAAGCAAAGCAATGAAGCCACTAAGATTCAAAGGGTTACTGAAAGTGAAAGAAATAAAGTAAACATCATTGAGTAGAAAAGATAATAAAAAAACTGGATTAAAAAAGACAAAATATGATGATTGATGCTGCATTTAAATTTTTGAAGAAAGCAAAAAACCAAAAGAGTTTCACAAGTGAGAAGTATGAGCAAAGAAACTATTAGAATAGAATGGTCAAATCTAGCAATTTAATGGATGTCAGTTATCAGTTATCTCCTGTTAATTCCCCTCTGAAAGTTCTCCACTGCCTTAACCAGGTATTGAACTCACACTCTTTGGGTCCTGTTAGATCCAGTGACAGGACCCAAAGAGTGTGAGTTCAATACCTTGTTAAGGCAGTGGAGAACTTTCAGAGGGGAATTAACAGGAGATAACTGATAACTGACATCCATTAAACATGGCATGTGGAACTAGAACAGTCTACACCAGTGAGCGAAATAAAGCGTTCAGTTTGACATTCCAATCACCTGAAGAAGGCCAGGGCGTACAACAATCAAAACATTGTAAGAAATATGGTGACAAAGATGAGGACAATAATCCAAATAATGTAAATAGTGTACATAATACCTCATCTCAGAAATATAGACAGATACAAGATTTTATGTATGAAATTGTTTTTTCAGAAACTTTAAACACATTCCATGTCTTTTTTTTTTTTTTTACCTATTATCTACTATCTTCAGCAACTACAATCAAATTTTTATATATATTTATAAATACATTTTCAAAATAGTGCATATATTCATATAATCCATGGCATCACTGATATAGCCCAATTCTGACTTGAAAATTTTTAAAACAATAAACATAAAATTAAATCAAATAAAATAGTAACTTTTGACCTATAATATGAACAGTAAATTTTGAATTATTTTGGAAAAAAATCCTACAAAACAAGAAAATACAGACAGCTCTTAAGAAAAATTTGTGCACCATTTTTTTTTCAAATCATAGAATCAAAGTTAAGGCAACAAAGAATTTAAGACATTTTATAAACTTCTTTTCTAAAAATGCTGTAAAGAAGAATGATTTATTGCTGTAGAGAAGAATGACTTATTGTCCCATTTCTATTTCCCCCATTATGGGCATTATTATATCTGTGATATAATAACACTGTAGGTTACAGATGGGATAGAACAGAATGGCTGAAAGGAAAAAGAATGAGAAACATGTTTTGTTCTCAGAGAGACTTTTATAATACGAAGACATATACAAAACTGTATATATACAGTTATACACATGTCCCACATGGAAAATAATATATCACATATATCTACACAACAATGAAAAGTGTAAAGAGAAGGAAGGATTTTACATATAATACGGAGATACTCCTGCATCTGGAGAGACCATGTTTAGGACTCAAGATTCAAATATTCAGGATTCATCTACTATAGGGGAGGACATATTACACAGACAAGAAAGAGCAAGTTTTGGGCTTTCCCAAATGAAAGACTGCAAGCTGGAGTTTCATTCCATATCTGGGAAAGAAATATTCCTAATGAGAAACAGCACCATGGACTTGTAAATTGCTAGGGAGGCAAATGGGAGAACTGAGCTAAAGAAAGCAACCTTACCATTTGATTGCTGTAAATGAACTGAAAAATGACTGGCATTTTCAGCACTGTATGGAGAGATGTCATTAAGTGGCCATCATGTGACCCACATGACTTGTCACCACCAAAAGGAGATAAGCACCTTATTTAGCCTTGCAATCCCTTACATCCTATAAATGAAGTATTAGTGAAATTGGAGGAAAAAGAAAAATATCTGCTATTGTTATAGCACTTTATAGCAAAATGTAGTAAGTTTCAGTCAAAATATTATGAATTTCCATTCAAATACTAAGTCAATTTATAAAATCCTATATAGAGAGAATACATTTAGAGCAAAAGAGAGCAGTAATATTACTTCTCTGTATCTTGTTGGGAGGCAACAAATGTTACTAGCTCAGAATGGTATTTCTTTGATTGTCAACAAGCAATGGGTCAATCCTTTGGGAAGAGTAACTACTGATTTTGAATTGCCAGCTTCAGCTTTTTATCTTATCTCAGGGGCTCAAGATTAAGGGTCCTGAGAAATAAATTTGGTCAATTTGATTGGCCCATTATTCATACTTTTAATCCCATGTGTTGATCACGCATGCATCCACATGTGGAAAGAATTCTTGTGACTGTGGATGTGGGTGATCCACTCTTTGGTGTTGTATTTTTAGCATTGATAAAAATGTCTGGTAAAATTTTGTAGATAAGACAGATTTTTTTGTTGCACGGTGAATAATTTTTATGTCAGAAGCTAGGTATTCCACCAAGTACAGATTACAAATGAATGTAAGTTGACTCATTATTTCTTTGACAAAAAATCTTTTCAGAACATTAAGTGTATAGTGTAACTCAATGAACTTTGATATATTAATTTCTTTCCAAAAATAACACATTTATAATAGACATGCTGTTCTTTTAACATAAAAAAAAGAAATCTGTGATCACTACTTGAATTCACAAAGGTTTATTTATTTTATGTTCTTAAAATAAGTAGACAGTGATGAACAATAGTTTGTTAGCAAATTCATCATTCTTTATGCATTGAGTCATTATATATGCTACCACTTGTCTGTGGTAAAGGGAGATAACTCTGCCATTGTTTTCCTTACTACTAAAACATTATCATTGTCTGTATATATGGCTTTGTTCCAGATTTTGATTGATATTAGCAAAGAAATTACTCTACAATTTTTAAGCTAAGAAATCATCAGCAATACATGAAAAAAAGGAAATATGTTATTAATTTTTTAAATGCCAGAACAACCACTCTCTCATGTATTATTTATCTATTTGTAGAGTGGGGGCTTGTGTTTGCCATTGTTGACTGACTATGACTCTTTCTAATGCATTAACATTCAAAGTAAAACAACTATTGCCTTGACAATTTACACTGTTACATTAATTTTCCACTAAAGCATGCATATGCATCATAAAAATACATTTATTATATTAAAAATATATGCAAAAGAAATTACTATGCTACAAATTTAAAAATAAATATGAACTATTATGTTAGTAAAAATATGAATAAAATAAACCAGTGAAATATGTCCAAGTGACCTATAAATTGTATGAGCTACAATGATGCTTGAACCCTGCAGAAATTCAAACTTTTTTTTTTCCACACATACAACATAAACTCTACTGGATTGTATATTGACATTGTAAGATTTTACATATCTAACAAATCTAGATCTATTTCTATATTTCAAATTAGGCAGGATAAATCTAGAGAAATTAGCAGTGTGCGGCCAGTTGATGGTCTTGGATGGTTATGCAAATAGTTGATCAGGTGAGCTTTCGAGAGGTAGACATAGCTACAAGTATCAAACATAAAAAGTATGTTGTCTGTGTCTACTACCAGCTCCTTTCTTTCAGCCCTTTTCACCTTTGTGTAACTGAGCCTGTTTTCTTGAAAGAGATTAGCTCTCTCATAAATGTTTCCTCTTTTTTTAATTAGTCAGTAGCATTATTCTCCCAATTGTCTTGATTTATTTCAAAAGCTGTGAGTTTAAAATATATATATGATGGCTTCAATTAGATTTTGTGTAATGCCATCAATGGACAGCATGGATGCGGCATTTTATTCCTGCTAGGGTTTACACTGTTTTGCACAAATGTGACAACATTGTCAAGGAAATTAACATCAAGAACTTTATTAATTGTTTCTCTTTAGTTTTTCATGCTAAACATAATTTTGCTCAAAGTCTTTCTTAGTATTGTGAACCACTTTCTTCCAAGATAAACAACCTAGAGTTAGATCATCTGAGTCATATAAATATACACACATATACTGGTACATACAAGCATATATAATGTTGGGAAAATAAGTCCAGAGAGTGACACACTATTAATTGAAATTTTATGATATAATGATCAAATATAATGTGTGGTTAATTTTATAGATAAGGAAAGAAATTTGTTAAACAAAAGATATTTGTTGTGTAAAGGAAATGCTTTTTCTCATCATTATGCAACTCCTTTTAATTCCATGTAAATAAGTAAAAAGTAGAGAATGGCCCTATTTTGTACCCCTAAAAATCAGATATCCATATTTAACAGCAAGCTAGGATTCTTATTGTTATTAAATGTTGGCTTTTATGTAATGAAAAGTTTTAATAAAAAAAAAAATAAATTAGTACTTTAAGATGCTTAATTCATGAACCACCAACAAATCCTGGCATTTTATAATCTCAAAACTTTCATACAAGAAAGTAAATGTGTTGATTATTGATTATTGCTGTCAATACAAAATTAAACATCAGAACTCGACCATTTTTCAAGAATGACAACACTAGATTAATAATCGAAATAAAGCAATCTGTCAGTTTTGAAACATGAATTTTAAAAATTCATTACAAAACATCCATTTTCATTCTTTCTTGTTTCATCTTTTTTTCATTTCCAAGATCAAAAGCTACATCAGTTCATTTCAGGTTATTAAAACTTATTTGAAAAGCTTTAACTCTTGATTGAACAAATACAAAAAACATTTGAACACTGTATTCACTTTTGGTCTTAAGAGCAAAGCTCAATAAGTCTATTAAAACATAATCCTAAACTAAAAATCAATACCCATATATATATATATATATATATATATATATATATATATATATATATAATATATGTGAAAAGTGTATATAAATATAAATAAATATATATATATGTATAATTATTTATATATTATATCTGCATGTACTTATTAGAAAGCGCTCAATATCAGAGATAGAGCTAACATATTTGGT